AAAAAAGTAAATAACTTATTTTTTTTTAAGCATAATGATCAATGACAAAGAAGGCTCAGTCGTATCCCAAAATATAGCAAGTGAGAAGTACACAACAACAATAACATCATAGAATAGCACACTTGCATTAGTGAAAATGCCCAAAGTGTGAAAAATTCAGTAAAGGAATCAACGAAAAAAGTAAATAACTTACTTTTTTTTTTCAAGCTTAATGATCAATGACAGAGAATGCTCAGTGATATTCCAAAATATAGCAAGTGAGAAGTACACAACAGCAATAACATCATAGAATAATACACTTGCCTTAGTGAAATGCCCAAAGTGTGAAAAATCCAGTAAAGAAATCAACTAAAAAAGTAAATAACTTACAGTTAGCTTAATGATCAATCACAGAGAAGACTTAGTGATATCCCAAAATATAGCAAGTGGGAAGTACACAATAACAATAACATCATAGAATAGCACACTTACATTAGTAAAATGTCTAAAGTGAGAAAAATTCAATATACCTTTAGAATCTTTCAACCCTAATGACTTAAACTCACCACACAACTTAACAAAAATAGGGGTGGACATCTTAAAATTTTCATAACATCTACTTGCATGCCCATTTAAGATCTCCAATATATATGCTTCTCCTTTTAAAATTGAATCCCTACAACGTTACTTATGAAAATGTTTCCTATAGTATTCCAACATACACGCCATTATAACGACATATTCATTCTCGTCATCATTATCATACAACTCTATAATTGTCCTAATATCCATATGTATAATAAAATATATAAGAAAAAACATAAATTACTAGTAATACTGTTAAACTACAAACTAGTGATATTTATAGTGATATTGTTATTACAACCATCCCAAGGCAAATAGAAAATAGAGTACTTAATAGCACAATCATCCAAAGTGATAAGAAAAACAAATAAGAAATAAAAGCAACACAACAAACAAAGTATAGTTAATAGTATAACCATCCAAAGTCAAAAGAAAACTAGATAACACATTAAAGCAACAGGAAATCAAAAATTCATGATCTAACCAACCTTCCTCTAATCAAGAAGGTTATTCAGAAAGAAATCCCTCCATATTTCATCATTATGTAGCATCTTGATGACCTTACCATATAGCACATTATCAATGCCCTCCAATTGATTCAAATCATACAACACAAGTTAAATTCATCTTTTGCCTTATCTTTTTTTGATGGAGAAGTTACGGGATAGATGATAAAGCTTCTTTTATGGACTTTTCAATTCGTTCAGTTTTTATGTTAGCATTGTCAGCCATAGTTGCCATGACATTACTCATTGTAGTGGCAAAACTATATTTCTTTTGTTTCTTACCATGAGGTTGAGGCGAGGGACTGATCTCATGACCGTCTACCTCTGCCAAATCATCATTTTCAAGGTTACTATATATGGTTACATGGTGTGGGGGGACTTGGTTGATAGTGGGTGGTCTAGTGGAAGGATACGCATGCGCACTTGTAGCATATGTGTCTCAATAGATGGTGGTATTTTTGTCAAAATGCTTACATCCATTCCTTCGAAACTTTTTAACATCCTTATTCACCTACAAATTATTATCCTATTATTAATATGAAGTAAAACCTACATTTGAATATGACAAATAAATTAACTTTCATTAGTAACCTTTATCAACCTATCCCATCATTCAGTTTCAAGTATAACCATGCCTGTCTCAAAATTGTATCCAACACCTATTTTTGCTAACAATTTCGTAAAGTCTTTGTAGTCTGCCCTCAACTGGTTGAATTTATTCTGAAGTTGGTTCTTTATAAAGTTCTTCCCTATTGAACCCTCATGCCTTTCACTAAATTCCTCCAAGCAATAGTGCTAAAAATTCCAGAAGTATGATTACCAACCTTCACTTCTTCCTCTATAAAGATAATGAAATTTTCAATATGAGAGTCATCACATACTACTTTTCTATTATTGGTAATGTCTGTAAGGTCCTCTATATCTGCCGGCACCATATTCTTATGATTCACATCCATCTAATTAATCATTTTAATTTGAAGTTAGATTTTAGTATAACTTTTACTACGGATATATTCTTCAGTAATGTATGACACTATGTGTGTGGGTAAAATTTTTTACTAGTTGAAGAGCAACACATATAATTTAAACCAAACAAAATTAATAATTAGACCAAATAGGACTGATTCAACATATATGCAGAGATGGATTTTGAAAAATAAATCGAAAAAATAAGTGAAACAATGCCGAATCATGATAAAACTATACAAAATTAAATCTGTCAAAAAATTACGCCTAGAACATTAATACAGAAGCTAAAACTATACAAAATTAACATGTATACAGAAGCTAAAACTATACAAAATTAAATATGTAAAAAAATTATGCCTTAGAACATATTATACAAATTAACAAAATATTCCTTAATTTCATCGATTTTGAACACAAGATTGGAACTAATCTGTCATACACACAAATACAGTACGCAAAATTAAATTAGGGTTTCAAACAATTATCATTTCAGTTTAAACAAAGGCTAAATAATCCTCAATTCCATCAATTTTGAACACAAAATTTGAAAAAATCAGTCATAATCATATATACAAAATGTAAAATTATACCAAAAAAAAAAAAAAATAGGGTTTTAACAAAATCTGGTTTGAGTTTAAAGAAAGCCCAAAATTATACTAATATTCCTCTAATATGTCAATTCCGAAACACAAAAGTCGAAGAAATCAGAGGGTAAAACTAATAAAAAATATTAGGGTTTTTAAAAAATTCGAACTTCTAATGAAACTCCGTCTGTGGATTTCCAATCGCAAAACTAAAAAAAAAAAAAAAAAAAAAAAAACCTCAAATAATAACTCAAACACACCTATAATTTGCAGATATTCAAAGAAACTCGACAAACCTGTCGAGGTCGTCGAAGATAACAGCAAACGAATGAAGATTGTTGAAGGTTTCGACCGAAAACAACAGTGGGAGCTTCGATCAGTGTTCACTTTTAGCCAACAATTGCAGTCGCCAACAATCGCCGGAGAGGAGGAGAGCGACGCGAACCCTAGAAAATGCTTAACAACGCCTTTTATATGTGCTTCAATTGTTGCCTCCACTATAGTTAAATGAAGGTATTTGTTGCCTCCGCTACAGTGTATAATGTGGGCCAAACAATACCGAATCAGGCAAAAACACCTAAATGGTGTTTCAGATTTTGGGATAGTTTTTACAAATGTTTTGCAACTGTTTAAAATATAACAGTTCAGCCAAATATGTTTTGGGTTGAAATTGGGCTACTGTAACACGCCTGTAAAAACACCAAAAACATAACACTAACCAAACATGACTTGAAAAAATTTAGAACAATGACAATCATTTTCATTATGTTATGCCAATATTAACCGGGCTGTGTTACACACCACATTCGTGTTAGCAACCGCACGAGACTGCAAGTCTTGACCATATTTAATTAGGTTAAGTGCATTAAACCCCTTTTAACTATGAGGCAATTGCAAGAAACCCTCCCAAACTAAAAAATATCCTCAAACTATAACAGTGTTGCAATTAGTCCCATAACGTGAAAGAACCGTTAACTACAAATGAAGTTACCATTCTGCCCATTAACTAACCCACTATCCAACTGTAGTGGTTGACGTGGCTCTTGTAATCTCTTATGTCCAATGAATACTTGACAAGTCCTCATATCTTAATCCAATAATTTTGCTAACATAGAAAAAAATATATATATTCCCCTCAACACAGCGTTACATTGGTAATCAAAGAAGCGCGTGCCCCACCTTCGCTCCCTGTCTCGTACACAGGTACATAACGTCTCTATTTTTACTCCCCGCGGCCGTCACAACCAGCTGCAGTTTACCTTTGTACGCGTCTAAACTGCAGCCATGGAATTTACCGGCGAGGACCAACGGTGGTCTTGAAACTGTTACTGGCGAGAAGCGGCTAGCTGCTTTTACCGGCGAGAAACGGGAGGTTTATTTCTTACCAGCGAGACTGAACTGACCGGCGATGAAACGACTAAATGGTGGGGAAGTGGACGACGGGATTGTTCAGCTGGAATGGAACATCCGGTGTGAGGCGGATTGTGACTGTCGCCATGCTTCAATGGAGGACGACGGGTTAGCTACCACCTCGTCTCCGGTCACCTCCGACAATTTGCCGCCCTTCTCGACAGCGAAGGGGGATCGTTAACACTAATGTCCTTATCGGAGGTGGAGAAGATGGAGGTGGCGCGTGATCCGACGGCGGTGGCGACCTTGAGGTGGCGCATGAACATGCGGCTGTTTTGTTTCTTAATCAATCCACAACATTCATCTCTCCAATGCAAGCTAGTGACCGATTACGATAATCGGCAACCCAATCTCAAGACCCTAAATTCTAGTCTTAAGACCCTATAAAAACCTAAAAATTCAGTCGCAAAGTCAAGAAAATCAGTTGTCGTCATGGACGCACGGTGGTGCCATGGACAGACAGTGAAGGTAGTTGGGGAGAGAGGGCGGCAGACGCAGGGAACGTGTGTTTATATACACACGGAAGAGAGGAACGCGTGTATAATGTATATACATATATTCCTATATAATATTTATTTAATGGTTATAAGGTTATTTTTGTCTTTTTAAAATTTTGTCAAGTCAGCCCTTCCATCAACGTTAAATTTTGGACGGCCAATTAACATATTGTAACATATGTAATAGTTTAGAAAGTTAAGTGTTTTCTTGATAGTTTAAGGAGTTTTTTTTGAGGGAGTGAAAAAAGTTTAGGGAATTTAATGCACTTCAGTCTGTTGAATTTCATTCATTCATCTAAATGAACAACATTTGGGTCGAGTATTCATCGAGTCGAGTACCAACCCTAGCCCAACTATCATTTTAATTGGGCTGGGCTCTTCAGTTTGGTTCCCTTCATGGGCTTCCATTTCAGCCCAAGACGTTCATATGCCGAATCCGAACCACACGATCATCTCTTTTACTACACCTTCGCTTTGGTCATTTCCGTGTGCTCCCCACTTCTTGTTTGTTCGTTCTCTCTGTCTCTTCTCTCTGCAAAATCACAGCGATCGGTCATGGCTTTGAACAACGGGCTCAGATCTTGCGCCTCGAAGCTCCTCACTTCCACAGAATCATTTCTCCCCAAATCAGGTCAGTCCTCTTCCTCACTTTGCTCCGATTGTATATAACTTAGGGTTTCTCTATTAATCAGTGTCTTCAGTCCACGGTAAATTTTATTAGATTCAAAATTTGATTGGGTTTTCTTAGCAACCAAAAGGGTTTACTTCTAAACATCGATTCGATTATTTGATTGAATCGTTGTTGCAAACCATGGAATGTATGTATGCATATTTGTATATTTTTTATGTATTGGTAATGTGCATTTTCATTAAATGAATATGATTCATTTTTGTTAATTGATGTTGCAGTTTAGGTCAATGCTTTGTATTATATGATTCTCACAGCTCGAAGCTCACCTCAACTATTGAATAAGTGGGTTTTGATTAGATATTTGTACTTAAAATGAATAATTATGAATCCTTGCTCGATGTGTAAATAAAGAATGGTAGATCATATTTTCAAGTATTCTATGATGGCTAATGAATTATAGAACTTTTTTTTTTGGTTCTGGTTTGGTTACTACTGTTAATGTATCTTGAGCTGAGTCTGTGGCAGTCTTATATGAGTGTGATAATTTGAAAGCACCTGCTTTCTGTCTTTTCCGATGCATGTTAAGTGTTAGAATTTTAGAAGGAAATTGGGTCTCTATCATTAAGCTAAGAAGGTGGGAACTGGATTGTTCTTAGTGCGGTTGTTATGGTATAGGGAAGTAGGAGGCATATCTTTGCTTCTTTTTTTTTTTTCTTTTTTTTTTTTTTTAATTTTATCATTTATGGTCTTGTTGCCTTTAATTTTAGAAGATGTTATGTGGGGTAGATAAACAGATTGTAATGTTGGAACATTTGAAGTTTATTGTAATGTTGGAACATTTGAAGTTTACGTTTTTTTTTGAAAAGTGGAGCTTGTGATGTCTTTATTACTTGTTATTGTTAAAATTATTACTTTATTGTTTTGTTTTTAATTTTCTCAGTTGTTATTGTTATAACATATGGTTTATCTTATTGTTATTGTATGTATGTGTGTGTGTGTGTGTGTGTGTGTGTATATATATATATATATTTGCTATCAAAGACGAGCCTTTTTTTTTTGGCTATAAAGTCAAGAGACCCTAAGTCGTAGGGAAAAAAACTTTGTTTGTTTGTTGTTGTTGTTTGTAAAAGACGAGTCTTTAGCTTTGTTTTCCATTTAGATCGTCATATATGTACATAAAGCATTTCACTTTAGCTTGTCAGATTTGTATAAAGCACAAATGGATACATCCTGTGTCCATTACCTTGTATTATGCAACAATTGCATCCATGTCCACAATCTGTTTTTGTGTTCATTACTCTAGCTTCTTTGTAATTTCCACTCTTGGTGGAATTGATGAAATTTATCTTCTTTTTTATTTTATTTATTTATCATACTTCATATCAACTTGCTTTGATAATGATCCCGTTTGTCATTGTGATGGAATCTTCTATATCGTTTTCTCCATACAAGATTTTGCTCATTGTTCCAAAAGCATAGCCCTTGATTTAAGGATTCCAGTCTATATTATTGGTTTCTTTGAAATGAATTCACACTCTTTTTTTGGCTGACCCCGACACTTCATGGATACTCCTGTACACGTCGTCGATGCTTCACGGCTTGTCCCTAATTTAAAAATAATTTTTATGTTTCATAAATTTAACCTGACACATCTCGGAAACTTGGTCAACACATTCCGGATAGTTGACCGACACATTCCACACTCTGTCTTTATAAAACAAACGCATGACAGTCTTAGAAACAACATTATTCACATACATCAAACTGTCCAACATCCTTTTCCTAAAAAAATTGACATTAAATACATGTGAAAGTATGTAATGAAAAAAAGACATAACTATAATAACCAGATAGGATAGTAATGTTGTATATAATATAATATATTCTTTTTGATATTCAAATAGCTTCAATCTCTAACTTATGTAACTTTAGTATAGAAATTTTAAATTAATTAATGATCTATAATTGTCTTACTCAATAGATATATAAATGAAAATTTATATTTATATTAGCCGTGTTCACGCCATGTCCATGTCCATGTCTTACGTTTTTAGAGTTTGATGTGTTGGCGTATCCATGTCCATGTTTTTTAGGTTGGTATATATATATATATATATTGGGTCAATTATGAGACAACTGTGCCTGGTCTTGATAATTTTTTTATATCGGTTTCAGATTCATTAACCTGATGTAGATGTTCTCCTTTCATTTTTCTTTGCAAAAAGAAAAAATAAGAGGATGAACCCCTTTCACGTCTTTTCCCCGGCACTTTCATGTTCCCTCACCTGTATAAGGCTATTGTTTGTAAAACACAAACCTCAAACATGTACACACACAAGTATTTTTGCTCTTCTTTCTATTTTCTTTCTATTTTCTTCTTCATATTTGTATGGTTTGGAGTTAGAATGTGATTTTTGTTTCTGTGATGTCTTTGACTGAGGTATAAAAAAAGCTACATGTACCAAGGGAAGGGTGTTATCTGTACCCTTAATCTTGAATTGCTGAAGTGGCTGTAAGTATGTCGATCTAACGGCTGAGAAGTTAACTGGCCGGTTGTTGTTTGAGGTTTGTTAAGAATCTCCATCAACATATCTGCTTACTGAACTTCTTACATGTATATAAATATGAATGAGAAGGGGAGAAGAAGGAAATGGCATAGGATTTAGCCTTTTTGAGGAGGCCCTTCTCTTACATCAACTCTTTTATTGTATAAAAGGGGTCACCTTCCAGGCATTCTGCTTTGACTTCCCAGCAGTTTGCGTCTCTAGGTGCCTACACATATAAAAACACTTCTTTTATGCTTGGGGAAAAAAAAGAAAGGAGATTGACAAACTGTTAACTAATGCTTATAAAAAAAGAATTGTAAATTCCATTCCTGAAGCTCTTTGTTTCTAATCTTAGGTTGGATAAGATCACATTTAAATATGTTATATCTAGTCTTGCTAATGTGTTGCATTATGTTTTTCTTTTTTGGTAAGTGCTAATGTGTTGCATTATGTTGTTTCTAATGAGGAACTCAATCTCCAAAAAGTTGCAACATCCTTTCAGATGTTCCCTTTAAATATTCTCTTCAAATGCAATCAATCTGTTCGTTGTCAATTATCCATAAATATATGGTCAAAATCAGGATGCACTTGGCTTGGATTAGCGGCTATAGAATTAGCCTCAGGGATATAGATGGTATCTACTTTCAAATTTTTATGACCTTGTCATCGTAAGAGACTTCTACAAAGCCACTTGTTTTTATTTTATTTTCCCTAGGTAAAGTGGAATTTTTTGTATTTGTTTTTTTTAATATATATATAGGGTTAAGTGCAAAAAACCCCCTCATTATATTCAAAATGTGCAATTACCCCCGTTGTTCAATAACTCCCTGTATTTTTTAATTTGTGCAAATAAGGACAAATTGAGTAATTGAACAATGAAAGGTCTAAATTAACCTTAGTTTATAAAAACAAAAAACAAAATACTTGTTTTCTCTCTCCTGGCCGGCCATTTAATTATATATACACTGTGATTGAGTCATATATGAAACTATATACTACCTCTGTCTCAAAAAGAATGTCTCTTTTGGGGAACTATAACTCACAATTCCCGAAAAGAGACATTTATTTTGGGACAAAGGGAGTAATATATCAATATAAGAACCACAGTGACCGGAACATTAGGAAAGCCAATGAAGCAAGCAATTTGAATAGGACTATGATTCTCAGATGGGACTTCACTGTAGGAATCATAAAAAAGGACTAACTTGATTGAACCGAAAAAGGATGATGATTTGCACAATGTAAACATAAATTTTTACACACAGGGCATTGAGGTCTAAGAATTTGAGATTTGTGATGAAGATTTGTGGTGGTGAGTCGTGAGTTGAACCAGCTGTGTGGGGTTCGTTTGTCGGAAGTCCACTAGATTGCCATCATCTATGGGGTTTCGGTGGTGTTGTTTGTCGGCTATGGGGATGGTGGTGTCGCCGGAAGACCTCAGGAAGTTGATGACACAAGTTTTGGTGGTGGTGGTGGTTGTCGGATATGGGAAAAAAATGGGGTTTTGGTGGTGGTGGTGTCATCAAGTTCCTGTGGTGGTGCCGCCATTGAGAGAGAAATTAAATCGGAAAAGGTGAGGTGGGTTGGGGTAGTGGCCGCAACAACGGTGGTGAAGGAACTGGCGGTGGTTGCGGTTGTGGGGAGTAGATGGCGGTGATGGTAGGTAGTGGGTTAAGCTGAGATGTTGTCGGCCAATTTGAGGAAAAAAAAAAAAAACCAGATGTAAAATGGCAAAATTAACTCTAATTTGAATTGCAAAATAGTAAAGTGGGGCATTATTTGTCCAATAAAAATGGAGACAAAGCTTACCCTTTCCATGAAGAGGGGAAGTTAGCTTTCCCCTTTTATATATATCTTTTTATATTTGCATAGAAATATTTAATTATTATTGTTTTATGCTTACATCAGCAATGAGGGTATTTTAGGGTTTTTATAAAAAATTTGGTCAAAATTGACTATTAGGGGGCAATTTGCTCAAAAATTAATAATACAGGGATTTATATGCACTTTAATGGGGGTGTTTTTTGCACATTTTTTATATAACGAGGGGTTTTGTTGCACTTAACCCATAAATATAACAATAGTGTACATGCAACAAACAATTGTCGACTGAGTTAACTAGTACTTCTTTTCTTTGCATTTGTGTTTCAATGTTATGGTTCCCTCAATAGAAAAATTGTCGACTGAGTTAACTATGGATCAATAAATAATAAACGATAAATAAATAAATGAGAAGAAAGAGTAAATCGTGAGCTTTGACCTGTTGCTGCGTTCCTTACTATTACACTTTTTTGACTCATCCTGCGGGAACAAACCTGGTAAGTTTGTTAACCCTCGTTGAAGTTGAACTGTGTTTGAAACACTGGAGTCGTCTTCTTTCTTTTTTTTTTTTTGGAGGAGGATGTTATTTTGTTTCACCTAAAGCTTGTGGGATCGGGATATAATCCAAGACAGATTTGCTGATGCATTTGTAGGAAACATTGAAATAAATCTGTGGAAAGACTTGTTTCCATTACATAAATTGCTGGTACAAAATTGACAATGTTATTTTACAATTCAAATGTGTCTTCAACCAAATTTAAAGAATTGCAGCTTCTAGTGCTACCAAAGTAAGGTTTGTATTACTTGATAATAGTTGTTAACCATACAATTTCACTTCTTTATAGCTTTAAGTTGTTATGTCAAAAGAGTAGGACCTAGACCTTAGCAATTTGTGGTTTCAACAACTAATTTTACTACAGTACTCTTTAAATGAAACACACGACAGGCTATGTTGATTTTGTCTTGTTTGCTTTTATGTTCTATTTTTTTTTTCTTTTCTTTTCCCTGCTGCTTCCCATATTATGTAACTGATGTAGTAAATATCACAACATTTTATTTTTCGCCAAACAATCAACTTTTTATCGATAAGACCAAAGAATCTAAATTTTTTCTGGCAAATGCAATTCTTAATTGCAAAGTTAGAGAACTAAAAGTAATGTTTCGAATAAGCTCCTTATAGTGACCGTAAAAATATAGCATTCCTTGTGTTGCTTATAACCTATGAAGCACGGACACGGATACGGGACACGGGTACGACACGACACGGATACGGCGACATGACAAATTTCAAAAAAATAGGACACGGACACGACGGGGATACGCCTATATATAATTATATATTCAAAATATAATTACTAGAATCTTGTACAGAAAAATAAAATAACAACAAAGAATAGAATCAATTTCAATAATTTCATCTCTGTTATAAGAAAAATATAGGCAAGACAAAACAGAAAATAAATGAAAAATAAAGTTGATCCAAATTTCAAAAGAAGATGTGCAGAAGAGACATAGCTATAATGAACTAAATATGTATATGAATAAACATATATACTTTTAGTCTTTCACAAAGTTTTGTTTATGTAACTTATATATATATATATATATATATCTTGTTCATGAAGAGAGATAATTGAAGAAGAGGAGAGACCGAGAGGAGTGAGAGAAAGTAAATTTTGTCTCACAGAAGTGTCGGACCGTGTGTCCGAGCCTCAGACACGCGTGTCTAATAAAAAATAATATTTGGACACTTTACAGAAGTGTCGGACACGTGTCCGAGCCTCGGACACGGGTGTCGGTGTCCGAAAAGTATCCGACACGGGTACGGGGCCTCTGGGAGTAGTGTCCGTGCTTCATAGCTTATAACCAAAGTGTTAATATCTTTCTGTTGGATAATCTATTTTAGGAAACCACTATGTGTGAATTTACACAATCGTTTCAACTCATAATCTTTTTTGTGACAGTGAATAGAGGCTTCCATTCAACTGGCATGAAGAGAATGAGTGGAGGACATGCTCATGGCCACGATGAACCATTCTACGTTCACGCAAAGCACATGTACAACTTGGACATGATGAATCATCAGGCGCTGAAGATGAGTCTTACTGTCCTCGGTGTCTTCAGCATTGGTGTAGGTGTCCCTATCTTTGCTGTCATCTTCCAGCAAAAGAAAACTTCTTCCGGCTAAGTCGCCACTTCAATCCTCCTTTGTTACAATAACAGAGACCATTTTGGTATGCCTTGTATTAGACTTTAAGTAATGGTTTTCATTGGTTCAAAGATTTATCATTATTCCTGGTGTTTTGTCTGGCAATGTCAATGCTATTTGCCTGTTCAGCTTCAACATGGAAATATTTTCTTCAGTAACATGTTGATAATAATATTTACTGGCTTTTGTTCAAATTGGTTTCCTGATAGCATGCTCTTTGTCTAGAGATGAATGTACGTACTTTTGGTTGATCGAAACACGAGCCTTGGTTGATCGAAACATGAACCTTGGTTTACGAAAGAATTTCAATATTATTATTAGAGCGGTTGCCCGGTTGAACATATTTATGGAATTCCATTTAAAGGTTAATTTTTGGGGTTCCTAGAGTTTTCTGAGTATAGTATCACCTTGTAGAGTGCAGCTGTGACAATGTCGAAGATCGTTGCCATTCATGTTCTTCATACGAGAGACACCATGAACCCTTTCGACGGTGCATAGGGCATAATAACATACCCTGCATCATCCTCAAGCTCTGAGGATTGCTGCTGAAAAATCTAGTTGGAAAGTGTAGGGTGTTCATGTTGACTATACAGGTTGCGCTTGTAGCTCCTTTTATACCTACCATTCCCTTGTTAGGCACAGTGCTATGAAGTTTAACAAGTGCACGAGGCTTGGAAAATGTACTTTCAGACTGCATTTAGCCTATATGCAAGGCATTGTTTCATCAACAAATTTGCCCTGTGATTGTCCGCCCATAGATCATCCTAATAGAGTTAGGGGTGGGTTTGAGATCATCCTAATAGAGTTAGGGGTGGATTTGGGAAGAGAATTTAAAACTCGCAAAGTTTTTCAATTAACGATTAATATATAAATAAATATTCGTTTATTAGCTTTAATTTTTGTTTTTTCTTATTTGTTGTGATTGTTTTAAATTTTAACAACATTTTTGTTATTATGTGGTTAAATATTTGACTAGACTAAAAAAAAATTACAAATTTATGTTAAATTTGTTCAAATTTAAATTTTTTATTTAAAAAATATGTATATTGGGGAATTCCGAACCCATCCCTATTCCGATGGGTTCGCTCAAAAGCTGTTCGACTGTACATGGAATAACTTCTCACTGCCTTTGATTAATTAAAACCGAGCAGAAATTTTGCTTAAACAATTTGGATGAAAAATTTATTTTTTATAGAGAAATCAAAATGGAGATTGACCAAGTGGTAAGGGATGAGCTGGGTTTTCGTTATCTGGGTGTTTTGCGATTCAAAAGTTGCCTGAGTCGGGCACTTAATCGTAATACAATTGGATGATTTACAATTCAACTCAGGAGTGTAAGTTATTAAATGGAATTAACAATCAACTTATATATATATCTATTTCAATTCCCATTCGATAACATAGACTTTGATTTTTTCAACAAAATGGGCACGCAGCAGGTATGTGATTCGAATTTTTTACACTTTCTTTGAATCCAAACAGAAAAAGACAGAGATGGGGCAATTACAACCACATGATAGTACATCACTTAATAATAAATTACTTGCTAGACACTCAATAAATAGTCGGATTTGTTCACTTAGTGACAAGGATTTGGTGCAATAACAAAATATTAAATTCCATTGCATGAAGCAACATGCTTCTATAACGTATTAAGTTATTTGTGATATTATATCTCAATAATGATAAATCTCTCTCTCTCTCTCTCTCTCTCTCTTCCTGCAGCGAATAACAAGATGAGTAGTTGAAGAGCTTATAATTGTCATTATAAATGAGTTTCTAATTCTTCATTGGTTGTTTGTAAATAAAATACGGAGTAGTTTATTTATTTATTTATTTTTATCTCTATTAAGAATATGAGCTCTTCTTTTTAAAGGAAAAATTAAATGTTCGAGCCCTAATATATACTTAATTGAAGTGAAAATCTAATAATACTACAAGTTGTTAAGAGTTTCACATCCAACATGTTAATCTAAGAATTTTGTTATTTCATTTCTATATTGGATGAGACTAAAAGGACAAAGGAAAAGATATTTGAAAGAACATGTTTTCAAATTATTGAATATGAGTATATAAATTTTATATTTTCAGTTAATCAGACGAAAATGCATATATATAAATAAAGTGTAGTCTGTATAAATTGATATTTAGATTTAGATGAATTTCTATTGATTTTTTCGTTTGAACGTGACAGATGTTTCAATAATTTTTAAAAAGTGACGATACAATTATTTAAATACAATTATTTAAATACATTTTTTCTAACATAATACTCTAAAGTCGATATGCAATTATGCACACTCCAAAATAATAATAATAAACAATCTATAGTTCTCTCTCACACATACCGCAAATAAGTGAATGACAAGTTCATAATAATATCACTTCAAATATATACTCAAAAGTCATATAGAAACACACAGTGACTTTTTGTCTTTTTGCCCTTTTTCTCTAGCCAGCAATTGGATAGTATAAAATAGAATAAGACATTCCGGTATGTTGAAAAGATGCCATCACAGAAAGACCCACTTTATCCAACAACAAAGTTCTTTAATTTTCTTAAGCAAGGAAGATAATTTATTTATTTTAATAATAGTTAAAAATTACCACCACACAGATCGATTCTAATATTTGTTACATAAATATATACACACATATATATTTGGTCATGACCCAGGACCAAAATGTTCACATTGTAAAACAGGAAGATTAAAAACAAAGGAGTCAATTATGGGCCACGTGTTGTTGTGGCTCAGATGGTGTAAATTAGAGCTTTTTTTATTTATTTATTTTTTTTGAAATATTTAAATTTGTGAAATAAATTATGTCTCATTATTTTTATATATTAGAGTTGAGATTGATTTGGTAACTCCTTGAATGCAAGTAATATAATTCTTATCTAACAAAGGAACTGGGTTTTAAATATTTTATAAATAGAGATGGGTTTAGTTAGAAAGAGAAAAGAAATAATTGTAGAGAGAGAAAAAGTGAGTTGAGTTTGTGAGAAGAGAAAAAATGTGTAATCAAATTTTGAAGTAGAGATAGTCGTTTTTCGTCCGTGAATGTATGCAATTTGTCAAACCATGTAAATTTTATTTTGTTTCTGCGCGTGCTTTAATCTGCTATATTTGCCAATTATGTATGCAAAATCATTGCAAAACGTTATCTAAATCTGAGTTGAATTCAACTTGGGTTAAGAAGAGTTAGCCCGAGCTCAATCATGGTCTATTTAGTTGGATTTACCAGATTGGTATTTAATCTAATCAAATTTTATCAAATTTTTTTTTCCAATAATTTAGTTTTTACTAGTAAAGAATCCTGCACTATTGCATACATTATACACACGTGTGTATATATACACATGGAGAGAAATTTACGTTCAAAATTTTACCTTTGGGTTGAGCTTAGGTTAGAGAAAACAAGCTAAAATTTTAGTCCTAAAATGCAAAAACATGAAAAACAACTATTATAGGGTCTGTTTGGTATGCTTTTTGTTTTTAACTTGAAACGAAATAAGGTTTTGTTGCAGAGTGTTTTAAATAGTAATCGGAAGCATGTTTAATTACGTTCATTTGTTACAAGATTTTTGGAAACAAAAACATATTTGGTAAAAAAGTGTTGCAGGTTTAAAAATATAATGGTTAGCATAAAAATGTCATTTAAGAGTTTTTGAAGAAAAAAAAAAAAATTTATTGCTCATCAGTACACTTTCAAACGCTACAATGCAGAAACATATAAAAACACTAAATTAGTGTTTCAAATTTTGGCCAATGTTCACAAAACATTTTGACAATGTGCAAAATAATATAGTTTTTACCAAATACATTTTTTTTCACTGTTACAGTATTTGACAAAAACAAAAACGCCAAAAACAAAATGCGTACCAAATGTGAGTTACGCGATGCGAAAATTGTTAGTTGATTAATTGCGATTAACACTCTAAATGACCTAGATGAGGTGATTAGGTCAACTTGCCCAATTTTAGTGACTGATTATAATCAAATAAACGTTCCGATTTTTTTTTGACATTTTTTTAGGCCTTTTCATTTATTTTATTTGTGCATGGGGATGCGTGCCGCAATATTTCGGGAGTTGTATGGGGCGTTTCTTCAGGTTTAGAACTCTTACAAACTTATTTGGGTTCATTTATATTATTTTCAATTTTCGTGTTTGAAAGGGGCCAGGTGGGGCCCCGCAACGGATTTTCGTGTTCGAGAAATTTCTTGACACCACTGTCTTCTTCGTTTATGTAGGGAATATCTGTTTTGCACTGCGTTTTGTTGTTTGCAAGTGTTCGAGACTTAAATGAGCCATTTTAATTGTTTAAATGGGAGGCGGGACCTACGGTTTGACCTTTAGTATAAATAGGGTGACTTAGCCCATTTTTGGACCACAATTCATTTCTTCATCTCTCTCTCTACCAACCGTATCTCTCTTTTTACTTAAGCTTTTCATTTCTTCTTCATTTTACATGCTTCGGGCTAGGTTTTGATCTAACTTGACTTGGATTTTGATGACGTCGTAGAAGGGAAGTTTGATGAGTGCAACGAGAGCTACAATCCTATGACTTTTTGCATTTGTGGTATGTTGGTAGTGGTATATGTAATAATTCTATTTTAAGTATGTAGCATTGTTTTGTTTGAAGAGTAAAGGAATTATTTGGGTGTTTTTCAAGTAGGTGTGTGTGTATATATATACACGTGGAATTTTAGTGGTGTTTAGTGATTGTATTTTGGGGTGGCTAAGTGAGATTTGTTTAGTCAATAAAAGAAACTAATTATCCATGATTGGGGGTTTCGGTCGATGTGTAGTTCCGATATCTCATGTTTTTAGTCAGTGTACTGGATGGCCCTTAATGGTTGATGTGAAGTACCCACACGTCGACCGAGTGTCCTCGGTCGCCGTGTAGTGTCCAAACGTTGACCGATTCCTGTAACTTTGTAGGTTTTTTTTTTTTTGCCTAATTTGCCATTTACACCTTTAATACGATATAACCAAGAACCATGTGACATAGTAAAATGCATTAAATTATATTTTAACCACGAGAACGACCATATTACCTCCAGACTTCATATTAATCATTATATGACCTTAGTAATTGACTATTTTACCCTTTTGGGGTCTTGAACCATTATAATTGTGTTTAATGACCATTTTGCCCTTGTTGGGCCTTAAAGTATTAATTTAAGGTGAA